GAAGCCCGAGGCACAGTTGCTCTGCCCCGGGCTTCCTGGAATCAGCGGCTGATCAGTTTTAGCAGCAGCTGACTTGGGGTTCTTAAGTTGAATCTGTATGTAAGTCAGAACTGTCAGTCAGTTTCAGCAGCGGCTGAATCTGGACGCCAGTTCCGACTTACATACAGATTCAACTTAAGAACAAACCTACAGTCCCTATCTTGTACGTAACCCGGGGACTGCCTGTACACTTTGGACTTTTACTGCTTTCTGGTTAAGCAATTTATGAGCATAGCAAGATGTTTCTGTGTTCTAGAAGCATGGCTACATAGTGCTTTAAACATATAAAGCGCTAAGTAAATACTCATATTTTTAATTATTGTTAATCTTTTATTTAAATGTCAGGGACAGCTTTTGGAAGCTAGTATTCTAATATTTTATATACTTGCGTAAGACAGAAGTAAGCATCCATCCACCCATTCTCATTTGTTTTTACAAGTCAATGATATCTATCAAGTTAATCATTCATTCAGTTTTGCATGCAGTAATATTTTACATTGTGTCATAACTGTCATAAAGTTTAATTTGTACTATTTTGGGTTAAACAGACTTTCATACATATCCAAAATGGAGTTTTTAAAATAGTGTATATATAGAAAAAAACCTGAAATGGTTAGTTTTCTGAACTCTAAAGCGCTTGTCTGATCTAGTCTCAAAATCAGTAAGGGTACTCCAAAATCGTTATTCAAAGAAAATATGAACCAAGAAATCGAAGACTTTCTTCTAGCAATGCATATGTGATGTTTGGTACTGAATAGGGGTGTTTTTTCCACACCTTGCCCTTCACTTTTTGTAGTATTACACACCCTAAATTGTACTTGGTATAGGCCTTGATGGTAGACTATAGAGTTCAGTAAACTAACCATTTCAGTTTTGTCTTCCCATATATGCATGGTTTTAAAAAGTCCATTTTCGGTGTTTATGAAAGTCTCCTTAACCCAAAATAGTATGACTTAAACTTTTTGAAAGTTATGATAAAATTTTAAAAAATTACTGCAATGTGTAACCTCTTACCATTCATGATATAGTACCACTTTCATGATGATGGAAGTCTTGGAAAAGGTATTCACAATTTTGAAAAGGACCTTTTAAGAATAGTTAATTTTGATAAGAGTGTATGGAGATTAACTCTATTTTAATCAATTTGTCCTCCTTCCAAGTGTATAAATTCGTGGTTTAATGGAATGTTTCATCCTGAAAGTGTTATGTTCAGATCCTTTATAACAGGTCTTGACTAAACCGTGTCAGGAACCTAAGGCTCATTGCACCCTGTCTTCTTTTCCCAGTTTTGTTTGCATTTCTGAAAACATACAGGCCTTAAATACCTTAGCTTATGATTGTAAGATTTAAAAACAAACCACAACAAACACTTTTCTTCTTTATAAGGAGGCTTGTTTCAGGCATGCGCTGCTTTTCACATTAGCACCAAGGAGTGTCACACTCTCTAGTTTCCAGCTTTGCACTGGCATGTTTGTCTAATCCTTGAACGTGTGTGTTTCAGTGTGAGAGATGGACTTTGCAGCTAAGCAGAAAAATGGCAATGCATGTCTCAAAGTTCACTGCTTATCGTTCTCATCTAAATTCTCTTTTCCCTTTTCTGTCTATAGAAATATTATGGTCTGGATACAAAGTGGGGTGACATCGAGCAGTGGATGGTAGGCCTTGACCAACAAAGCTAAAAATAATTTTAACATTGAAATTTTGTACATCTTACAATTTAAGATTCCGTGGGACAGTTATATAGCTATATTTGAAGACTTAGTTTCAGTCTTCTGAAGACTGTTTTGAATTCTGTATCCGAAGTATTGCTTACACTTGTGTTTGTTTTTAGTGAGTTTTAATGGTCTGATATATAGGATGTGATTACAGAAACCATCCTGCTTTACAAAGTTCTAATCCCAAAACAGGTTGGAATTAAAACACTATTTGCTGGCATTAGCATTAGGATGTACCTTGGTCTGAATTTTATGACAGTTTGAGTTCTCTCAATGTCTGTTGTTTGAATACATTCTTAAACTGTAGATGGTTGGTATCCAGAGACTTCCAGGCATGTTTGCATTGACCCTGTAATCCTACTCAACAGTACCTTTATACCATGTAGTTAAAAGGGCAAACACCAGCATGTGCCTCCTTATGTTACTCTATTGATGTTTCCGCTCCTATCAGTCCTGAAATCTAATTTTCTAGCTTTTGCAATGGAGTGAGCCATCAAACTTAGATTAGCCTCTGAAGAATATCCAATTGTCCAGAGGTCAAATCATAAAGATTGAAAATGTTGTTAAAAATGGGCTTCCTGAGTTAAAGCCACACTAAAAAACTTCCTAAAGACCTGGAAAACTGTTATTGTTTTTTCTTCTAAATAACTAAAACAGTTTCTAAAACAGACCAGATTTGGTTTGATGTATTTTTCAGTTTCTTAAAAGAAATTCTTTGATTCTTAGTTTGACATCGTTTATATTTTAGGGACTGGAGGCAGGGCTGGTCTTTTTGGGTACCACTGAAGTCATAAAATGAGTTAATTTGGAATTTGTTGGCTTACTTCTTGACATATTCTTCTAAATAACTAAAACAGTTTCTAAAACAGACCAGATTTGGTTTGATGTATTTTTCAGTTTCTTAAAAGAAATTCTTTGATTCTTAGTTTGACATCGTTTATATTTTAGGGACTGGAGGCAGGGCTGGTCTTTTTGGGTACCACTGAAGTCATAAAATGAGTTAATTTGGAATTTGTTGGCTTACTTCTTGACATAGTGCCCCCCCCCCCCCCACATGCTTTCTTGGCTTAAACTCCTGCCATTTTCAAGGTGATTTACCACCTAGACAGGGTGAACTGCCTCATTGAGTTTAAGACCAGAAGGGACCACCAGGTCTGATTGCCTGTGCATCACAGGCCACTAAATTCTTCCCAGCTACCCATGTATTGAGTCTAATGACCTAGATTTGACTATAGTATTGTGTGTGACAAGCAGAGGATAGAAGGGTCTAAGGTGCAGCAGTGCCCAAGGCTTTGGCAAATGTGGGGAATTGATTTAATGTAGTTATAGCCAGAGGATCTTAACAGGTAACCACTACCCTTTGCTACAGTGATGCCATGGTTTCTGCCTGTCTGACCCGGTGAAAACTATTTAATCACACTGAAAACGGTGATCAGTATGAGCATGTGAGCAAGATCCACCTGCCAAAACTGATCACATTCCCTTGATAACTCACAAGTCAGCCTCTGTAACTTCAAACCGTGCATGCTCTCTGCAGAGAGTATGAGCTCGCCGTCTCTAATGCTTCCCAAAACCAGAGCTAACCACGCAATATTTAAGCTTGCTTGAAACCCAGTGTATTTAAACAACTCCCCTCTGGAAAATATAGTTGTACAACACATTTATTTGGAATTCCACTTTGTAGCCATTGCTAAATAGTGTTAAAACAATTTTGTTGAAACTTAGTGCATCCTACTACATTGTTCAGTGTTCCCACACAAGGCAATGTATAATATTGTACAGTGATTAGAAGCAGGATATAGATTTGTTTAGCTTGTCAGCAAAGGCCAGGTGTTTCAGTGAAACTCACCTTAAAAGGTGGGTTGCCTTCTCATTTTTTACAGGGTAGAGAATGCTAGAGAAATTGAATAAGACTGTTTGTGAGGCGGAAATAGACTAGGAAAGCTTTCATTTAAAAAGGACTGTAGCTACAGGCTCTCAGGCCCACTAGAGTAGTAAATTCAAGGGTCTTAAATCAATGTGTTTGCACTGTAAATATCTAGATAATCATGAGGCAGAAGCTTCTGATGGTGAAAGCCACACTTTTGAGTGCTTCTGAGTGCTCTGTGTGAACTTGTCTTTCACCAACAGAAATTGGTCCAACTAAAAGATACTACCTCACCTACCTTGTCACTCTCCTATCCTGGGATCAGTATTGCTACAGCTATACTAGGTACAAATAAAGAAAACAATGCATTTAATTTGCCATTGTATTTTAGAAATGGGCAGTCATGAAGAATGGGCTGGGATGAAGGAAAGAGGCAGGTGAAGAGAAATAGCAGGTTGTGATTTTTTCCCCCTCAGTTGCCATTGTGCATCATCTGTCATCAGAGTAAGCCTTGCTAAATCCAGCTTCCTTCTCAACACTGCTGAGGTTTCATATTTTTCGTACTAAAGGCTTTGTTTTATTATTCCTGTCCTTTCAACATTTCACTCTTCCTTTCTCTGCTGCTTCGGTAGGAAGACAGTGAGCGTTATTCTCGTAGATCCAGAAGAAATGCCTCGGTTAGTATTTTCGTTATTCTTTACACACTTTTACATAAGTAATTTCCAGCATTCTGTGCATTGGCAGTGTCTCTTTCTCAAAACAAATGTAACTTACTGTTCATTTGGTGCAACACCTCACGCATCTCTGCAAAGACTTCTGGGGGAGTTTTTGCAAGTTGTCAGCATAAAGAAAATTCAACTTTTGCATAAGTGAACAGTGACCTTTTTTGTTTTACATGAGCCAGACTTGGCACAAAGAGGAGTTGTGCAAGCTCCTAACCTGTTCAGCCTGTAGTGGAATGTGTTAAGTTTCTCTGGACTGTTTGCATGCAATACAATATTTGAGATGGCTCTGTTATATTTACTCTTGTGTATGTCATCTAACACAAATGAAACATATGTAATGGGCAAGTAAAGCTTCTTCTCCCTCTGGTTTCTGTCTCATTGATTCTCTCTCTGCTTGTTTCATTGCTTATTAACTATATTCTTTTAATTGTTTCTTGTCTCCTACACTTTCTCTTCAATAGGCTTCAGATGAAGATGAGCGCATGTCAGTGGGGAGCCGTGGAAGCCTGAGGGTTAGTAACTTGTACAATTAAGTGTATGAATGCATTGATGTTGCTGTTCTCCCACATCTTCCAAAAAGTTGCTCTGCCTCCTTTCCAGAGAGAGCTCTGATAATTGCTGTCTTCCAAATCTCCCAGTTTTCTACAGCGTAGCCTTATTCTGAAGGCCTACGTTGAAGCCAACAGTTCCTTCATCCAAATAGAACTGTAGAGCGGTGTCAGTCTTAGTCATTAAATTGTAAATATTAATATAAATAAAGCATACAATTTTGTGAATATATTTTTTTCTGATATACTCTAGTAATTATCGGGGAAGGTATTTACTGAAGATGATGTACAGAATTTCCTCTTAAATGGTTTCAGCATTAGTGAGCATATGGCGCAATCTGAGAAATGAAGCAGCATTCACTTGGTTGGTGTTTGGGACTTGAGGGGTCAAAATTTAGAAAACACATCCAGTTTAGTATTACTGTGAACCAGTGTTAATACTGTTTTTAGCTGATCTTTCTAAATAGCCTGGAGATCCAGGTGACTTTTTTTTTCTCCCAAAGCTGCCATTATTAAGATGTTTGGAGTCTGTCTCCTCCCCAAAATGAGGCTGGGCACTAAGGAAGGATCACATATGCATGTGTATTGAGCACAGGGGCTCATAATCACTTAGGCCTAATCTAGAAGAGGTAAATTTACCATCTTCCTAGTACAGCTGAAAAACGCTTGCGTACAAAAGAGCTCCAACCAGTGTACCTATAGGCACACTGAACTGCTTCCTTCTGTACCATTGCACTGTTTTAATTCCTCCGTGGACCAAATTTATCTCATAAATAGTGCACGTGGTTGAGACCATCCTGCTACTGTCCTGCAGTGCGCTTGTTGTCTTTTGAAAACTCTTAAAATTCTACAAGGAGTCCGGTGGCACTTTGAAGACTAACAAAGTTATTAAGACATTAGGACATAAACATTCGTGAGAGAAAACTCACTTCCTCGGATGCATGAAAAGAAAAGAAAGGGATGCAGAGATGGGAGTGTGACAGTGCTAATTAAATCAGAGTGGATGTGTTTGATCTAACAGTGATGAGAGAGTGAGAATACCTGAAAGAGAAATTACCTATTATTCTGGAGCCTAGGAGAGAGGTGCTCAGAGGGTAATGAAATTGAGATGGTCTAGAAGAGTTTGGAACATGAATTAGCATGGCCACAGTGGGCACATAGAATTGTTTGTGTATGAACATTTCTGTTTGTCTGATTCCATTAACAGTAATTGTTTTCTGATCCAGACCGTTTTAATGCAAAAGCTTCAGGGGATAGCCGAGTTAGTCTGTAACAGGAAAAACGTAAACAACAAACAGTCTAGTAGCACCTTAAACACTAACAAAACATATAGATGGTATCATGAGCTTTTGTGGGCACGATCCACTTCTTCAGATGACCGGAGTGTTGGAAGTCTAGATCCAAGAATAAATAAGGGGAGAAGGTTGGGGGCGGGGGGGAAGGGGCTATGGAAGGGAAGAAGAAAAGAGACAGAGTGAGCTCAGTTTTAATAGTTATAAATAGCATGAGTTTCTCTTTAAGACTGAGATTATTCAATCCAGATTAAAATTATATATTTTAAAATATGGTCCATGTGCCTAGTCCTAGCTTTTACCATTTACCATTTGCAGGGAGGTCTCATGCAGCTCTCAGAAGATGTTATAATTAACTAGCCAGCTAAGGCCATGTCTACATTGTGAAGTTATTTTGAAATAACTCCCCTTATTTTGAAATAACAAGGCCAGTGTCCACGCTACCAAGGCTGTTTCAAAATAATGGGCTTGTTGGTTCTAAATAACAATTCCTGCTTGTGAAGAGGAACAGGCTTATTTCAAAATACAGGCAGTCCCCGGGTTACGTACAAGATAGGGACTGTAGGTTTGTTCTTAAGTTGAATTTGTATGCAAGTCGGAACTGGTACATATTGTAGGGGAAACTCTAGCCAAACATTTCTCCAGAGCTCAGTTTTATTCTCCCACACCTCCCTTCCCTCAGTCCTTTATTCTCAAGCTGAGGTGTCTGCTGAGAAAAGCCGCTCTACGTCTCCCTGGTCTGCTGGGCGGGGGCGCTAGCTTCGTGTCTCCCTGGTCTGCTGGGGGGAAGCAGCTAGTGCGGGGTTGCCTCACCCCGTTTGTAAGTAGGGATCCGATGTAAGTCGGATCCATGTAACCCGGGGACTGCCTGTACTTATTTCAGGAGTAATTTAGAAATAACTTATTTTGAAATAACCTGGTAGTGTAGACATATACCATGAGTTCCCCCCCCTCCCCCCCTAGAGGAATATCTCCAGAGGAACTGTTGAATAGAATGGTCTTATCTTCCCCTAAATAGTTTATATATAAATAGGGAAACAAATGAAAGAGTGATTGCTAATTTTTAATTTCTACTTTCTGGTGGACATACAGTACATCTTGTACTATGAATAGCTCATTTCTTTTTTGTGGCATCTATATACTACTAATGGTATGACAATGGTTTTACTGTAACATACCCGCCTCCTGGAATTTGGGATTCATTTAATTTACCCAAATAGTATAATTAGAATGTATTCGATACCTTTATGATCTTGCATTCTTAATTTCACTAGCAAGAAAGCAATAATTGTTTGGGCTTTATCAATGATGAGGAAAAGGTTAAGAAAAATAAACATTAAAATGGATTTAAGATTTTAGTTGAATTAAATTTCAATAGCATTGTGCCTGGAACTGACTTAAGAAAAAAAAATGCTTTAGTTCCTAGAGAACTTAAGTTTACAGTTTAGTTTGTTCTGGGCAATTTTCAATTAAAATGCTTATTCAGCCCTGACTGTAAGTGTATTTTCTTGACCTGCAAGGACATTGACTGAAATATCATTTCCAAATAGAGTTGCCAGTTTTGGTTGGATGTGTTCCTGGAGATTTCATCACATAATCTTTAATTAAAGATTAAGTTTTAGTTCCTGGAGACTTTGGCCAATCCTGCAGTGTTGTCAACCTGTCTCTCAAATCCAGATGAATAAGACTCCCTATTAGACCTTGGTATAATGTGCATCTCATAAAACAGGCTGCATTTTCTCACCCCAAAGAACATCTGATTTCTAATCTCTCCAGTGTAAAGAAGCATCCCTCATATCCAAAAGTATTCCCATGCTATTAACTATATGGTCTTTCAGTTTTGAGCCAGATCTTTATTTGATGCAAACTGGTGTTGTTCCACTGAAGTCAGTGATGAACACCAGCTGAAGATCCAGCTTATAATATTTATTCATTAAGTTTGTGAGCAATGCCCTTGTCTACTGGAGTCTTGTAGAAGAAACTTTATGCCGTAATATTGCTAATGTTATGGCACTTAATTTCCTGTATTACTGTTGAGAGGCCACCCTCAATGAATGCTCATAAATCCAAAGATCTGAGTTGTGCACCCACAAAGAGGGAGATCTAACCCCTAAATTTTAAGACTTGAAGAATGAGAGCACCTTGCGATTTCCTGCCTTGTTCCAGAGGCAATGGTTTAGGCCAGGGAAAGCAGGAGGTATATATATTAGGTCATTCATTTGAACTGAAGTCTGTCCCTTAATAGCTTTGCTTTAATGCACGTGGTTTTAACCACGCTGAAACTATATACAACTAGTTATATTCTTAGTATAGATGCACGCTTCACATAATTCACAATTGCTTGACAAGAGAGAATTGTGAATGTTTTAAGTGGTTTATGTAGACATTTAATTATGCATCTGTTGATTTCTTTCAAGGATATTTGGCTTGGCTTTTTATATATAAATAAATGTATGGAACGCCGCATGATGTGTAGAATTTACAATTTTTCTCTCTTGAAGGGTTGGTTCTTTCTCTTTTTGGACAGAAAGTTTCCAAATAGTAGATCAGTTCTAGAAGAATTCTTGCCATGTGACACCTCCCAGAACTCTCAAATCATCAACTTTTTTCCCCTCAGTTTCACCAGCATCTACTCTCTAAGAATGTTTTAGGATGGTTTGTTCTGAGACAGATGAAAACTGCCTCCTAGTTTTATTATTCTGGAAGCCGCCATAAGCTTACTTTACCCTTAAGTGATTTTTGTTGCAGAGGAACTTAGAATATCATCTAGGAATTATTTTTTTTTAAGAATATGATCCTGGTTTCAGTTTTCTTCCACTGCCAGTTCTCTTCAGTTTTCCTTTAATAATTTCACAGTGAGACAAATCCCACATCCCAAGATCCCACAAGATGAAATATTGTTGAGTTATTCCCCAATAGTGATGCAATGTATAAAGTACTTTTCTCTATTTCTCTTGTTACTCTGAGTGATGGCTGCTGATATTACTGACTTGTGAATCTCTGCTAGCATTTGTGCTGTCATTGCTCAAAAACAAAGAATTTTAATTTTTACACTCTGGGCCTATGACTTCCTGATTGCTATCTTTTGGGTTCGTTTGTATTCTGATAGTTGTTGTTTCCTCTCATGCTCTTCACAGTCTGACTTGGAGTATGCCAGCGCTTATCCAGTGGTGAGAATGGTCTGACGTTGTAATGTGTGATAAACTAAAATATATATAAATACTAACACCTATTGCTATATCTGGTTGGTAGTAGAAAAGGTTGACCCAAATACCTGACTGCAAGGAATGAGAGACATCCCACTGCTTCATTTAGTACTGTGACATTTGTCACACTGATCAAGGAAAATGACTGAATAAAGTACAGGCAGTCCCCGGGTTACGTACAAGATAGGGACTGTAGGTTTGTTCTTAAGTTGAATTTGTATGTAAGTCGGAACTGGTACATATTGTAGGGGAAACTCTAGCCAAACATTTCTCCAGAGCTCAGTTTTATTCTCCCACACCTCACTTCCCACAGTCCTTTATTCTCAAGCTGAGGTGTCTGCTGAGAAAAGCCACTCCGCGTCTCCCTGGTCTGCTGGGGGGGAGCGCTAGCTTCGCGTCTCCCTGGTCTGCTGGGGGGAAGCAGCTAGTGCGGGGTTGCCTCACCCCGTTTGTAAGTAGGGATCCAATGTAAGTCGGATCCATGTAACCCGGGGACTGCCTGTAATGGAGAATGAACTAACTCCCACCTAAAGATACTGTCCCTTCAGGGCCACATGGAGAACTACTTATTTTGTACCTGCTTGGAGAAGGGATTGTTTCATTTTCCAGTGCTCTGTGTGCTAACCTTCACAAATAAAAACCTCATTATTCACAAAATGTGTGTTTGAGACATGAACAGTGAAAGTTTTTTCCTCTGGGACATTTGTAAATAGAGCTGTCCTGAAAATATCTAAAACCTAGGTAGAAAAGTGATTACCTACTAGAGAATTGGGTGTTATGTACAACTTTAGTTTCTCTCATATTTCAAGCCCCTTTTTATTTTACATCATTCATTTCAAGTAGATTTGTTCTGGGAAACAGAAGATGAATAAATCTTCAGTACTGTAGATACCGTGTTTGAATAGCCTTCTCTTTGCTTGTGAAGATAAAATCAATATTTGTAGTTAGTGTGTGCATATATATACTTCTTGGGAAAAATTTAAAAATAGGGACCTTAAGATTGGGATCCTTACATCTGGGTTTAACTTACATGGCAACATTAACATTGCTCCCATGTGAGTCGACAGAGCACAGGGTCATGCTGTGCCTCCACAAAAGGCAAAGTACAAGAAATTATTTGTAAAAAGCTTGCTAAATAAAGAACAGTTTCACTTTATTTGAACTGAGCATCATTGCTGCCTCCCTCTAGCTGGTTGTTGTAAGTCAAAACTAGCAGCCGATTTCATTGGAAGCTCTGATTTTTTTTCTTTTGCTGCATCCCTATTCCTGTTTCAAATTATGATTTTTTTCACCCAATATTTTCAGTTTCCCTGGTCAGTGGCCTACATAATAGATATGGTTCTAACGCTTGTTATGTGAGTTTTTGCATGGATATATTGCTGAAGTACAGTATGTATATATGGCAGATGGTATGGTTCTATTAATTGATTTAACCTAGAAGGCATGAATAAATTTAACTGCAGCTATTAATTTGAACTGAATTGTTATAATTTTATATTATTTTAAATAAACTATCAAGTTGAATCTGGTATGATTGTTTTCTATCCTCCTTGAGTGTGTACACTAACTCATGAACTGTAGATTTGTAGGAATTCAGGACTTGGTTTTTGCATGTAGATCAGCATGTAGGACATGGGGAAAGACACGAATTCATTAATCTTTTTACTGGATTCTCTTACTTTCACTGCAGGCTGGATTAGAGAATGAGAGGACCAAAAAGAAGAACTCCAAAGTAGTATGTATTCAGAGATTGTTTTCTTCTGAGAGGGTTATGATGGGCTGGAGAGAAGTGCAAAAAATGTTGGCCATAGAGTTATGGCCAGATTGGGCCAAACAGGTTTTTATACTGAGGAATTGGCTCAATGCCAGGATTGTTTTGTAGCTCTTCGGACTTGTGGGTGCCAAAAAGGCACTAAGTTGTCTTTATAGGAGTACAGCCTAAATGATTATATAGGTTGAACCTCTGTGGTCCAGGACTCTCTTGTTGTGGGACTAGAGAGCCCCCAGTGGCTGGAAGCAGAGCGTGCTGGCTGGGGCACCAGAGCCTGAAGCTGGGGGGGAGGGACGGAGCTCCCACAGCCAGCTTGGCTTCTGGAAGCATGGTGGGCTGACAGAGCTGCCGTATGGCTGGAGCAGTGGCAGGGTTGCTGCAAGGACAGGGGGCACCAGGCGCTCCAGTAGGACTGCCACACGGTTGGTGGGGCCGGGAGGCTAGGGAGCGGAGGCTTGGGAGAGGGCCCAACAGGGAGGCTGGTGCCCCTCGCCCCTCCCGGCTTCCCCTGTCCGGGACCAAAGTAGTATGTACTCCATATTGATTTCTTTCAACATACTCTATCATCATGTGCTACTTTAGTTAGTGGAAAGAGATAGGCAAAAGATGGTAGTGGCTAGGGTGATGGTGTGTGTACCTGGTAACTAAGGTTGTATTTCCCATGGGCTGAGGAGAAAGTGGCGGGGGGTGGGAGAGAGGTAAGTAATTTTCACATAGTAAAACAGTAAATGTAACGTATCAACATTCAATATAACAAGCTCATGTAAGTGACTAATAACTGGCCACTACTTTAAGGTCTAGGAGTGCTTCAGTAAATAAGACAATTTTTACAGACCATTTTTAACGCAGGACTTTTTACTGGAAAAATGTCAAGACTCAAAAGGGTAGTCTGTTTTTGAAAACTATTTTCCCATCTCCTTCAAACATCCACAGAACGGACTTCTGAAACCTGTACTTTGGAAAATAGTGTAAGAGTGCTTCCAGAAAGGAATAGAGTTTATCCAGAACTGAGTGGCAGCTTATCGGATATAAATGCTTCCACCAAACTAGAGGCTACTTTTCTTGTTGCATTGATTTCATGCCAAAGAAATTTCAATCACCTGTTTTTTCTAGACAGGGTTATTGCAGAATCAGCTTTTATGTAACTCCCTTAGGGTGCACACATGTAGGTTTTCTTTTATCTCTAATAGGAGTATTGCATTTAGTACAAAATATATTGCCAGATAATATAGGAAGTACCCGAAAGGTGGAAATGTGACAAATGATTACTCATTTTGTCTGTCTGCCACAACTTTGTTCACAGTAACTCGCATGATGAATGTGACTGTTCAGGGCAACTGTCCCTGGATTTCCCCTCCGTGGCTTAGCAAGAACACCAGCTCTCATGTTTCAACTCCTCAGCTGTTGCCTTTCTTGGTGGAGAGATAGGTGTCTCTCCTTTCTGATCAGGGTATTCACAGGCTGCTCAGTTCCCGACCTTAACTATGTATTTGCAGAGAAGATACTCTACCTAAACCAGTGGTTCTCAAACCTTTGCACTGGTGACCCCTGTCACTTAGCAAGCTCCAGAGTATGTCCCCTCCCCTTATAAATTAAAAACTTTTTAATATTTGACACTATTATAAATGCTGTAGGCGTAGCAGAGGATAGGGGTGGAGGCTGATAGCTCACAGCCCGTTACATCATAACCTCAACATGACCCCTCCTCCCCAATTTGAGAACTCATGGCTTAAACCAAGGGTGGGCAATAATTTTTGACTGGGGGCCACTTCAGAAATTTTTGAAGTGGCCCAGGCTGCTCAGGTGGAAGGGGTGGGGCCAGGACACTTCTGTGCTTCCCCACCCACAGACTCTGGTGTCGGGGTGGGGGAGTGCATGAAATCTTTGTTCCTGCCCACCCCTCTCCCAGAAAAAAAAACTACCAGCTGCTCTAAACAGCTGGTGGTTTCCTCTAGGTGGCCATGTCCCTGACAATGGGAAGAGACTTTGCATGCTTCCCTCCACCCGTCCCCCAAGCCAATCAGGGCTTGGGGGAGGGGCACACGAAGTCTCCTCCCACCCTTCTCCCGTCCTGCAAGAGCATGTGGCTCTTAGAAGCACTGTGCCCCTTGCAGGGAGGGAGGAGATTTCTCATGCTCCCCTGCCCCCAGGCCAATCAGAGCCCAGAGGCACGGGAAGCACACAAAGTCTTCTCCCACCCTGCCCTGTTTCTGCAAGAAGTGCACGGCACAGGGTGGGAGCAGACTTTGTGCACTCTTCCTCCCTGCAGGCTCTCTTGCTCCCTGTCCTCGGGTGCGCAGGCCTTAGAGTCAACCACCAGGGTTGATTCTAAGTGCTGCACGCACCCCAGTCTCTAAGCCCTGATTGGACTGGGGGGCGAGGGAGTAGCCGGGCTTCCGCAAGCCAGATCAATCTGCTTAGTGGGCCAAATTCGGCCTGTGGAGGCCCTTTTTCACACCCCTAGTTTAAACAGATCTGTTTGCTTTCTCTTCAAAGACATGGAAGAGTGTCTGCTACAGATGTAAAGAATTTCTTTCTAAACAAACCTACTTTATTAAGATAAAAATATTAGAGAAAATATTTCAAAAACAAAAGCACCTACTTGGATGTTTATAAGTTCATCAGTGTCCCAACACTAACTAGGGGTGTAACCATTTAACTGGTAAGCACCACCCTTATCGGGTGATGCTTACTGGTAACTGGTTAGCCGGTGGCCTGGCCAGCCCCTTCCCCTCCCCCCCCCACCACGAATGGGTGGGATCCTGGTTAAGTGGTTAATTGGGTAAACATAATGGTTAAGCAGTTAATTGGCTATATCCTAACCCTAACATAGATAATGATACGAACAGCCTACTCTACTCTACTCTACTCTACTCTACTCTACTCTACTCTACTCTACTCTACTCTACTCTACTCTACTCTACTCTACTCTACTCTACTCTACTCTACTCTACTCTACTCTACTCTACTCTACTCTACTCTACTCTACTCTACTCTACTCTACTCTACTCTACTCTACTCTACTCTACTCTACTCTACTCTACTCTACTCTACTCTACTCTACTCTACTCTACTCTACTCTACTCTACTCTACTCTACTCTACTCTACTCTACTCTACTCTACTCTACTCTACTCTACTCTACTCTACTCTACTCTACTCTACTCTACTCTACTCTACTCTACTCTACTCTACTCTACTCTACTCTACTCTACTCTACTCTACTCTACTCTACTCTACTCTACTCTACTCTACTCTACTCTACTCTACTCTACTCTACTCTACTCTACTCTACTCTACTCTACTCTACTCTACTCTACTCTACTCTACTCTACTCTACTCTACTCTACTCTACTCTACTCTACTCTACTCTACTCTACTCTAGAGGAATCTTTATGGTTACCACTTCATTATGGTTTCAGATGAAAACAGGCATAGTCTTTTGAGGTCTTAGTAGGCCAATTTCTTCCACTCCTTCCCTGAGGAACATGACTTTTTTGCTGCATCAGGTAGAAGGTTTTGGATCACTTTACAACCTGGCTATATAGCCAACTTCTGGTAGTGGAAGGTAGAAGCTTTTTGCGTTACAGGGAGCTTCTCTTCAGACTTAGGCCTCTGTGTAGAGCAAAAGCAACCTTCAGCCATCAGAAGTTGGTCCGATAAAAAATATTACTTCACCATCCTTGCCTTCCCTATATCTTGTGACCAACCCAGTTACAGAAACCATGTGAACAAATTTAGGGATTGTTTAGTTTTCTGTCTATTATAAGTCTCATAATGTTTTGCAAGTAGTAGAACTATCAGCGAGACTGCCATTTTAATGGCCATTAGTATGGGTGCTCTTGACTCGCAGGTGATGGTACACGTTCCATGGTGTTTGCAAATTAAAAACAGGACTAGCACTACGTTCTGGTCATAGTGGATTTGAGTTTGGGTCCTAAAGAGAACCATATTCATGCCAGAGGTAAGATTACTGAGAAGTGTGGTCTTTGAGAGTACCGAGAGGTAAATCCAGGACGTTTGGAGCAGATTCTGATCTTCAGTCTCTGAAGGGCTGTGTAGAATTCTGGGATACAGCAGGTGGGCATGTCTGGATTCAAGCATGATGGAAATAAAAATGAGGAGAGCCAAATGCAAGTGATGTTGTGCAGTATAGTTTGTTTAATTACAATAACGTAGCTTTTCTAATCTTAAATACAAATATGGAATGTAGAGCTTAGGTAAATAGGGGAAATATTTTCCCTTTCCCTTCCCTAAACTCTAAAGTCTAATTTCAGTTCCCAGAATCTGAAAAGATTGAGGCTTGAAATACATTTTGTTGCTGTACTGTTTTTACATAAGTATGAGGTGAGAACAGGGATGATGTCTTTGCCCGGGATACAGGTATTGCTCACAGACAAAACTGTCAAGTGTTCTATGAGCTGCCTGAAGTTAACGATCCCTGGGGAACTACAGTGACTGTCCCCGGTGTATTTGTGGAAAAAATGCCATCTCTGTCTTTGCTCTGCAAAATAAATGATGACTTTCTCTGAGACCTCTTTTGGTTTCATTTAAGTTTTTTCTCTCATTTTTCTCTCATGACAGACCAATGGTTATGATGAAGACATGTATGGATCGTCTCAGAGTAGAAAATCTAGCAGGGTTAGTAGAGATTTTTTTTAATTGGTTGCTTAAATTCATGGAATTAATAGAAAGCTTTTCAAGAAATTAAGTCTCCTTTACTGAGTGCTTTTCCTACAGTAAAATAGCAGATTCTCTTTTTTGTTTTTGTTTGTTTTTTGGTCCCTGCTTTAGAAGGCATTTTGCCCTGACTTCCTTATTACAAGTCATGCAATTCACTTGGCATCTACCATGCTGTAGAGGCACAACCAAGTCCATAAAAAACAAAACAAAGTAAACTAAGTAGCAAGGAATAAGACTGGGACTGAGAAAATTCAAGTAGGATTTAGGGGCCAGAATATAGTTCTGTGCAAGTGGGTAAAAAAACCATCAAATTATCAAGAAAAATATTTTGACAATGAAATCTAGCTTGGTTTGGAGGCTCTGGAGCTCTTTCATGCATCCTTTGAAGAGATTTGATTGCCATTAGAATATGAGCCTGACATAGCTAATTGATTCTGCACAACCAATTCATTTTGATACGTTTCCCCAATATAAACATTTTTAAACCCTCAAAGAATTTATTTTATTGATCTCTGAACACAGTGTGTTATAAAGACAATAGTTCTGTGCACAAGCAAAAAAAGTCCCAACTTTCCTTTGGGTAGTAAACTACATATCAAACAGTATTACTAAAGTATTCCTCTGTATTAAATGTTGTCTCACATAGTACACCAGCTAAGATATGAGGGTTCAATATAATGATGGTGACAACCCTGTTAGATGGAACACAGTAATAAAAAACAGCTGAGGAGAGAACTCTTCACTTTCAACCGTTACAACATATGCTTTAATATGTCTTTGTTTTATTCCCTCACAAATGAGGGTATACTTAGATGATCCCAGCAAGCTGCAGTCTTGTACCAGCTGAAAACAAGATGACTGCAGTGAGGGGGGGGTTATCACAGCCAATGTGCAGAAGGTGCACTTCTGTAGCAGATGTAAAGAGCTGAGGTCAAAGGAAGCAGAGCATGAAGTCAGACACCAAAAAGGTTGGAAGATTCTTAAATTTCCTGGAATTTAAGAAGCCTAACCTCCTGTGCTGATTCTTTGGGAAGGAAGAAGTCTTGCGATGGACCAGTTGTATTGGGAATCCCTTCTGTGCAACATCATAGCTGTGTTACAGTCATGTGAATGTTTTACTGCTTAGTAAAAGTAGAAAAACCACGTTAAACAGTATGGTTCCACAATTAAGTCAGAATCATAGAATCCTAGGGCTAGAAGAGACCTTAGAAGGTCATCGAGTCCAGCCCCCTGCCCAAGCAGAACCAATCCCAACTAAACCATCCCAGCCAGGAATTTGTCAAGCCAAGACTTGAAAACCTCTGGGGAGGGAGATTCCACCACCTCCCTAGGGAACCCATTCAGTGCTTCACTACCCTCCTGGTGAAATAGTTTTTCTTAATATCCAACTTAGACCTCCCCTACTGTAACTTGAGACCATTGCTCCTTGTTCTGCCATCTGCCGCCATTGAGAACAGCCTCTTTCCATCTGCTTTAGAACCTTCCTTCAGGAAGGTGAAGGCTGCTATCAAATCCCCCCCTCACTCTTCTGCTGACTAAAGAAGCCCAAATCCCTCCGTCTCTCCTCATTGGTCATGTGCTCCAGCCCCCTCATCATTTCGGTTGCCCTCCGCTAGACCCTCTCCAATTCATCCACATACTTTCTGTAGTGGGGGGCCAAGATCTGGACACAATATTCCAGATGTGGCCTCACCAATGCTGAATAAAGGGGAATAATCACTTATGTAGATCTGCTGGAAATGCTCCTCCTAATGCATCCCAATATGCCATTAGCCTTCTTGGCTACAAGGGCACACTGTTGATTCATATCTAACTTCTCATCCACTGTAATCCCCAGGTCCTTTTCTGCTGAACAGCTACTTAGCCAGTCGGTCCCCAGCTTATAACAATGCTTGGGATTCTTCCATCGCAAGCGCAGGACTCTCATCATTAGCTTTTAAGGAAGCTGAATACCAAATCTGGTTGTCCTAGCTCTTACCATTTAGGAGGAGTTCTTGAAAAAACAGACTCACAGACGGATGCACAGATACACAAATCTCTAAACTATATAGATAGACAGTTATAGATAATACACTCTACATCCAACATTACTGCATGTCTGTCTTACTAGCATTTAGCTTGCAGCAGCATAATTATACGGGAGAGATGCGGATGCAGGTTGCAAATAGGACAGCAGTCAGGCAGAAATTATTTGCTTATTAATGTAATAAGTCCACCAATATTACATTTCTGAAATCCCATTTTTAACTGCAATATGTAATATGTGGTATACACTTCTTATTTTTAACTTCAGACCTTGAGATCACATAAACATATCACAAAACAGTGAACCATTAAAACATGAACCATAGCTCTTGTGCTATTACTCATCGTGCTGATTTTGAAATCTCAAGAGGTACAAAAGTAATTTGTTTCCCAGCTATAACTCTAAGCTCAGCTGAGAATTCTCAAACCCTGTCTAATGAAAATCTTTTTAGCTATTGAATGAAAAGATTTGCAGTTAAATTGGGAAGTGATGGATTTAAGCTTTTTCTATTAGAGATTTAACCAATGATATAAATATCACCACATCTAGTGATTTATCCATTGAGCTGTCTATATTCTCCAATGTCAGGGGTATAAACATTATTGAGAACCAAAGCATATGTCCTCTTCATGTCACACTTCCTCTGACATTGAATGAATCACTTAACTTTAGCTTCCTCTTTTGTAAAATGGGGGTAATAATTCTATGATAGTCACTGTGAGGATTAGTAGTTGTTTGTGAGGAAGCTTTAAAGAAGGGCATCATAGAAAAGTGATTATTACTGAGAATAGAGCATCAAGGATCTTGACTGAAGTATTTATGAAGAGGAAGGCGGTTGTAACGCAGGGCCTGTGGGGTGAGGAAAAGAAGAAAAAGTACTAGTTTTCTAGGAATAAACATCCTCTTTTTCACTCAGACCTGTGTCTTGTTTTGAGATGTGCATTGCAGAAAGGCTTTGAAGGGGTCACTATAAATTAGGGACGTAATAGGCTAACCATTTAAATGGTTAAACAATAAGCCTGATACGGAGGGATAACTTGGGGTAGCAGCTTGGTGTGCGCCAGAAGCCAGCTTAAAAGCCAGCTTCCGATGGGCATCAGGTCCCAGGGAGTGGGCTCCTGTGCTGTTGGTGCATGTAACTGCTAAGATTTTTGCTTACCCAGTCACCCGTTTAACAACCCTACTATAAATTCCCTCTCTACTGTGGGACAAGTTACAGCAGGGTTGCCAGATGGTTGAACCAAAAATACTGAACCCACTCCCCACCCAAAAAAAAAAACACCAGGGAAAAGATTCTGTTGAA